CCCTGTGACAGGTTACACTGTTAAGCTGTAACTGAAAAGCTTTTCAGAAGGGTGTCTGGTAGCTGGCACACAAAGATAATTTTTGGCCAGGCAGTTCATTGCTGGATAGCCAACTTTATGTTCCTTCCACCATTTGAGGGGGTCAGCATCACAGTATATGTTCCAAGAAGCTTGCCAGTGATCTTTTCTTTTTAGTCAAATGTGCTACGGCTGCTCATCGAGTATAATTTTAATGATGGATGGATAATAATGGATAATAATGGATTCTCAGATACACAGACACAGTAATACAAAACAGCCATTTAAAAATACCCACAAGTGTCTCAATTCAGGTGGCAGAAAAGTAATGAGAGGCAAAAAAAATTGCAGACAAAATATATCAATCTAAGAGTATTTTAAGAATATTATTTTGGATGTGAGCATTATGCCCAGTTTGTCTGCAGGACAGTCCACTCCTCGCCCTTACCTCCTTTTCACTATATGAGATATTACGGATGCCGCTCCAAGGAAAGGACTTGTTAGGGGTGAGTTTGCTGTTGGGGCTGTAGATGTGCAGACCCTGGGCATCAACTCCAAGTAGGAGGTTTGTGTCCCTCTTATTTTGCTGCCAATATATGTAGAAACACAAATGTTAACCCAAGAGACAGCAAAGTTAAATGTCAGATTCAAAAATGTGAAATCAAGTCATACTAATTCACACTCACAGTAATTTCAAAGTAGCTGACACCATACATCTCAAGATCCTGAGCAATCTTTAGGTATTCCATCTCAGCTTCATCTCTATATGGATGATGTGAAAATAAGAAATGGGATCACACAATGATAAACCGATTACACTTAAACTACACAATCTAGTGCAATCTTTTGCTAAAGGTGTTAATAAGTCTTCACATGCTGGTCTTCAGCAGCCCCCTGGGTCAGCTGTACCTGGCGAGGCCTCTGTGCTCGGCATACCAAGCTGTGATCTTCTCCTCCCACATGTCTGCTGTCATTTGGTACTGCATCACAACCTGGGATAAAGACACAGGATCACAGGGAAAATGTTAATACACTGAATGCACAGATGGTGTCTGACAAACTTGGCCAGAAATGACTGCTAACAAAAGAAAATAATTCTGGGAAACACCAGTTTTCATAGGTCAAATATGCACAGAGACCTGTATACTTACTGTTTTTGGCAAAAGCTCATCTTGTGCCAGGAAGCCTGGTTTATGGAAGTTTGGATCATAGTCTCCATACTGAAAGGGAAACAACAGTAAAGAAGAAATCAAACATTAATGACACACAGAGGAAAATATTTATTCAGGGTTTGGTTGAATAACAGAGGTCATTAGGATCTGTGCAATAAATAAGTTGCCCTTTATCAAATTTTAGCCCTTTTGTATCTCATGAATGCACTGCTCTTCATGCTGTCCATATAAGTAATCTGCATTATATTGATTTTGTTTCATATTTGCATGATGGTCTCCAGCAGCAAATGTACTCCAGGAGACTAATTATTTTCAGATAAAAGAAGGCCGAGCTCACTGCTGGTTTAGTGAGAATTTGACCCTCCAGATTTTCTTACCTTAGCTTGGACGGCATATGATGCCAACAGAACTGAAGCTTCAGGGGAGCAGAATATCTCTTCATCTAATATCTGTTTTTTTACCTAAACAAGAAGTTGACAACATGTGTGAACATGTACTGAGCTACATAAAAGCTTCTTAGACGTGAGGTAAATGCTACACACAGGTTGAGTTAAAATTCAAAATAAACTAAAGGAAAGAAATTCACCTAAAGGTTTCACCACAAAGTTATCAGAGTACCTGTAAGAAGAAGAGGTGTTGAGTAATTTCTTGAACCAGCTCTTCTTCTACTTTTTCCGGGAAAAATTTAGCAAGGAAATTAAATGTTATGGGAGAGTCCTTAGGAACCTCCTGGTCCAAGACCTTGATGAAAGATGAAAAGGAAAAGTTATTATATTATGTTTATACAACCATTCAAAAAAAGTTGATCCTATAAAGCCATATATGTTTTACAGAAGAACATAGAAAACATCAAATGTTTTAACTGATATGTTCCATTCCACAGAAAACAAATTTCTCAACTCATTTTGAATTTCTCTCTTCCAGCATGAAGAAATATTTGCACGCTGAAATACAACGCTGACTGATCTAGCCAATATAAATGTCTTATTTAAGCAACCTGTATAACCTTCCAAATATCCAGGTGACCTTTTTTTCCTTCCATAATTCCATACTTCATAGTAGAGTCCAGGTACTGCCTGGCTGCAGTTCACCAGCTGAAATCATTTGGTACTCCATGGTACAAAAAATACAAAAAAGCTAGAATATTAACTAGAATATTAACTAGAATATTAACCAGCAGCGGCTCTCTTCCTTTTCCAGATTTTTACAGACTGGTATTAAAAGAATAGTGCATGCTTCACAGTGGTAAACATGACCCTGTCCCAACTTTCCTAAAATGGGACATTTTTGCCGTTCAAAGATTGTATATGCATTTATAGTCTATTGTGAATAACATGTGGCTCTATGAGGTCTGTAAATTATTGAGCCGTGTTTTTATTGACATTTTACACTCTTTTTTTTAAATTGGGGGTTTATTTGTTTATTTTTGGATCTCAGAGCCAATCTCCTTAGAATTATTCCATCACTTACCCGCTTGTCTGGTTTTAGCCAGGCATAGGTATCCTTTACTGTGTACCTGAGTCCAAAAAACCAGGTCTCCCTCAAACCAACAGTTCGACATACCAGGTCAAAGAGGTCTTTACCTTTCCACTTGACCTGAAAAGAAAGGAGTTAGAAAGATATGAGCGAGTGAAAATGCTCAAAGCAAGGGTATTTGCAGCTGTAGCCCTTTAACTGTCCTGTCTCAATATAAAGAAAAACGTAAGAATAATTATTATAATAATGTTTCAATCCTGGTGTACTGGCAGGGCTCCCTGCAGTGTTTTATAGTGTAGGTGGGACACATCCCCAAGAATCTAATGTATCCTGTGAAATGTAATCTTTCACAGGACAAAAATGAGCTGTGGTTTAAAAAGATAACATATCAATGTTTGTGGGGGGAAAGTAGCGGTATTATTTCACACAGCAGAGGCCCCACATGAGTATAGCTATTGTTGACTGTCATTTACTTGCTCAATCAATCACAAGATAACGTGTGTCAGGATCTATAACTGCTGCTGATAAACTATTTCCTGGGTAAACCCTGACAGACACATGAGGCTGCATGACATGTGTCTTAGATTACAGCAGTGCCCTTCACGTTTAAAACCAGTGAAAGGCCTCCAACAATTTTGCCGAATTTAAATTTTGCAAGGTGTGATGCATGGCCTTTTCAAGCAATTCTTTACTGTTAATCTGGGAGTTCATTTTAAAGGAGCCAAAGATTATATATAAAAATGTAATCACAGTTAATTATTATACTTCGACCTATTATACAGGCTCGCATATATCCATACCTCGCAGCTAAACTCCATTTCAGCATCCATAGTGATAACTTTGACTTTAAAAGTCTTTGGCTGCTTCTTCTTTAATCCCAGGATAGACATTTTGAAGACGTTTCGGTCAAAAAGCTGTGGAAAAAAAATTAACAGAACAGATTATAGAGCTACAAATTACATTTAACAAGTGATACGATGAACCAACCGATGACTTAAGCAGCACGTTTTTAATGTAATTTACAGTGTTAAGCGCATGGAAGGAACTGCTTCTTGATCATGTTCTCTTTAGCATCCAAACGATAAATTAGTTTTTCCAGCGGTTTTAGAGATACAAAAAAAAATGAATCAAAACAACATGCATTAAAAAGTTAGATGGGGCCATTACCGCTTAGTAAAGTTTGAAACTTCTGGTGTCCAACAACTCTGAGAAGAGGCAGGGCTTTTGTGTGGGGAGAGCAATGCTAGGCTAACATTTACTACAACAAACAGCAGTTAGCTTTCCAGCTATGCCACGAAAACCGAGCAGAAAAAGTTGTAGAAAGAGCGAAACTTTTGAGAAACTCCCATGATGAAATTCAGATGTTAAAGCTGATTCAAATAACACTTGGGAACAACTGTGCTAACTCTCTCGGTTTTAGGTGGGTTAGCTTTCTGTTAAAATCTAGGACGACTTTCCAGAAGATTTTTGTTTTGATTCCCAGACACTCTACAGGTGGGAACACGAATAGCAACTGTGGATAACGCTACTGCGCATGAGCAAGCGCGAGTTCAAATGCCTCCTTCGGTGGTTGTCGGGAAATACTGGTTCCAGGCGTGATGTGTGGCCGTGAATGCAGCAGCTACCAAAGATCACATATTATAGAATAAAATGTATAGGAAAGAAAATAATCTGAAAGAATGTAAACGCCTCTTCATGGCGGAAAAAGAGCAGAGAAAGCGGCCTCTTTCCCTGAAAGACTTAACTGAGGGAATAGCGTGCCCGCTCTTTTATACAGTCATTGGTTGCTTCCTGGTGTTGCTGCACAGGCTCTCGGTGTCCCCGATTCAGTTTGCTGCAGTGTTAGTCCTGTCTTTATTGTTGGAGTGTGAACGGAGAAAGAAGAAAGATCCAGGGAGACGACTGCTGGTAAACTGGCGTCCTGTCTCGTCATCTTTACACGTATACATATATGTCATAGCAGCAGACTGTGTCTTCTACAACCGTAAAAGAAATCAGACAAGTGAGTGTGCAAGCCGAAAGAGCCCGTGGTATTTACTACATTGCAGAAGTTATAATAATACAATAAAAATAATAATGACAATAATGTGCAGCTGTTGTGTTAATTGATTAATGATTCAGACTGTTCAGACAAACGTATGCTGGTTTTAGTTTCCAAAATTGTTCATTTTTGCTCTTTAATTTGGCTAATGTGAAAGTAGTCAACAGATCTGTTGAGTAGACGAACAAATTAAATTTATGATGACTGACAGAGCAATTAAAATCTCAAAACAAAAAATTAAATTTGCTAGAAAATGAACCAAAGAATGTACGCTGCCTGTATATTAAGACTGAATCTGTAATGTGTATGCACACTTGGAGTCTCTGGTTGTTATGATTTTGCTTGACTATGTTTGTTTCTTCTCAGCAGGTGTGTATATAATGTCAGCTGTGGCTAACACATTTGAAAATGTGAAAGCAGTTATTCTATCAGCTCATAAAAACACAACATCAAGGGACAAGGTCTCTTTTTACAACTCCTGGGCAGAGAACTATGATCAGGTGAGATAACCTTACCTTTAATATTTTACTAATACTTGCTGATTTTTATTATTAGCCACATCACTGCCTATATGGCTTGTTTTTCTACTCTAGTTCCTTGTAGTTTACATGCTTAAATGTTATCTGTATTGTTATAATTTTAGGCACTAATGTTACATTTGTCATTCTGCTGTTTTGTATGGTATAACTTTTAGTCTACTGTAATTTTTTAGCAATGTTTGACACGTACTAATCTTTTGAATGAATATCTAATGGATAATAGTGAAAATATTGGTACTTTTTTCCAGGTAAATAAAATAAATTGTTAGCACAGTGCAAGTTTATTATAAGAAGAAAATGCATCTGAAAATACAATGTTGTGAAATTTATCGTTACATATGTAATATAAAGTAAAAGAGTACAAATTACAGTTCTAAAGGATTTATCTGATGGAACAATGTTATGTATGTGTTTCATACATAATTAATGGGTGACTGTTCATGTTTTTGAGTAGGATGTGGCTGTCCTGGATTACCGTGCACCAACTCTGGCAGCAAACTGCATCTCTTCCCATTTCAGTGGAGATCGTGAAGGTGCCGTCGTATTGGATGTGGCCTGTGGTACAGGACTGGTGGCCACACAGGTAAAATAGAAAAAGAACACATGGCCTCAGGGAGAAACTGTAAATGTGCAGCCTTAATGAAGTGATTTGCAATTTAATATCGGACAAATCCTTTTTTGAAAACATTGTTGATATTTGATCTTTTTCAGTCTAAATAAATGTCTAGAAATTTCTTATAATGTAGTGACCTTTTCTTTCTTGATTCTACAACTCAATAACAATGTGTCTGATAACAACCTAAACATGTTGCACAGTTAAAGAAACTTGGATTTGGAAAGTTTGTGGGGGTAGATGGAAGCAAAGCTATGTTGGAGTTGGCAAGACAGAGCGGGTTGTACCAGGATTCGAAGCAGGTCATGCTGGGAGAAGAGCCACTGCCTATCCAGTGGGGTATTTAAAGCTTTATTATTATTTTATCCAAGTCATTAATTACTGTGTAATTTAATTTTCGGTTCTCAGGTAAGATGCTTTTAATTAGCATTTGTGTGCCTCTATTTTTCAGAGCTATTTTAAAATTATCGCATTTCAAGTGATTGTTTTCACGTTTTTTTATTGTTATGAAATCTAAAATCATAATTTTAAAAAGTAAAAGAATTACTGTTATTGTCATATGATATTATTTATCTTTATATTTTATACAACACTTACCTGTTATTGCTTTCCTATGTCATTGTCATTCTGTGTACTCATATTAGGAAATTGTCCTTATTTCTGCTCAAGAAAGTTTTTATATGTTGTTAAATTATGAATTTTGTGTCTGTCAAATAAAGTCATTGTCCTCATATAGAACGATCGTGGCTCAAGAGTTGGCAGTTCATCCTGTAATCGGAAGGTTGCCTGTTCGAGCCCCGGCTCCGACAGTCTCGGTCGTTGTGTCCTTGGGCAAGACACTTTACCCGTTGCCTACTGGTGGTGGTCAGAGGGCCCGGTGGCACCAGTGTCCGGCAGCCTTGCCTCTGTCAGTGTGCCCCAGGGCAGCTGTGGCTACAATATAGCTTGCCATCACCAGTGTGTGAATGAATGGGTGGATGACTGAATGTAGTGTAAAGCGCTTTGGGGTCCATAGGGACTAAGTAAAGTGCTCTACAAATACTGGCCATTTACCATTTATAAGGACATACTTTCATGTTAAAAGATTATGTCCATGTTTTAAGTCCAAGCCTTATCCTTAAAGCACTAATTCCCCTTTTCTACCTTTTGCAGTAGATTCGTTTGATGTGGTTGTGATTGTTGGAGGACTAAGTTTTGGTCATGTCCCTCCTGCTGTGGTCAGAGATCTGTGCAAGTCCACCAAACCAGGTGTGAATATGTTTTTGTTGTGTTTTTGTTGTTGTTGTTCCAGTGCTGTCTCACCTACAGTCTCCCATCACTTTACTGAAGATGAGCTCTTATCACTTACTGCACTATCACCTCTTTCCACCAGGTGGCTACATTTGCATGACTACCAGAAGTAACCAGGACAATCTGGAGTACAAAGGCTTTCTTGACTCTGAGCTCAGGCAGATGGAGAACGAGGGGCTTTGGACTTGTGTGGAGGTCACAGAGGTGGAAAATTGGGAGAGAGCTGTGTCGGAGCACGAGGATGGCTACATATCTGGCGCTGTATATCTCTACAAGAAACTATAATTATACGTATATCACAAAAGTGTATGGTGGTTTAAAATCACACCAGCAAAGGTGCACTTATTAGAGAAGAAACAAAAACTGGATAAAATTGACATAAGATTAAAAAGGAAGGCTTGATTTTTGCATTTGCAGAATTAAGTAGGCTCAAAGATGGAAAGCTGCTTTCAACCAAATGAGTATCTTGCAACTGAGTAACAGACTTTTCCTTACTGAAAGTAAATGAACCCTTTTCTAAATAAATGGTTGTATAACTTGTGTCTGTAACTGTGTCTCTTGTACATTAATATCTGCCATCCACTAATAAGTGAGTTTATGAGGTTGCATTTTCTAATTCAGTAATTCAGTTGGCTCAGATGTTAGGTTATCCCCTTTGTGCTTAAAACTTTATTAACTTTATTTGCTATTTGTTTGAAAAGTCGATGAGAAATTGGACAATTATGCTTCTGTACACCACCACGGTGGATTTTATGTTAAGCAACCAAGATGAAGTGTAGATGTTTTACCAATGACCTGGTAAAACATACACTTACATAAAATGTAAGTGTGAGCCTAGAGTGTATGAATTGGCTATAGAGCAAAAAATGTAAAAAAAAAAAAAAAGATATGCAGGTATCCATCACACACAGAGAGAAGGGACAGGTAGAAGGGGGGAGGGGGGAACCAGAGAAACGAAGAAAAGGACAACAGGTGGCAGTGTAAGCAATGTCGAACCATACCGCATTTTGTGAAGGACAAAACAGCAATGTGTATGAAATGTTTTTTTTTTTAAAAAACAACGTTTAAAGTATCACTCAGTATTCCTGCTAGTCCATTTATGCAGAAAATTTCACATCTTTGTCTCTGATATAGCAGTGCTGCTCTGCATGCACTATCCATCTGTAGGCTCTGGCTGGATGACTGCTTATCAGTCAACCATTTTGTTATTGGTCATATTTCTCTCTGGGTTTATCACAGTGCATTATGAGCTGAAGAGAATCTTTGGAATAAAAAGCAAATAACATATAAGTCATTTGCTACCTTTTACCCTAATAGTAAGTCCTAATTTTGCTCTTTCTCTTGGATGTGTGAATGTTTAATTGTTTGACAATGTCAAGGCTGTAAGATTGTCTGCTGGCTGTCAGATTTTGCATGATGCAAAGTTGATTTAAGATCAGTTTACATATGTAGATTATCTTGTTTTCAATCACACTTTCCTTCACCTCTGCAGAATTTTGTGATGTGGTTAAGATTTCTTGAGCTCTTGGTTTTAGTCACATTTCTGTTGCTGTCATGAGAAAGCTGTGCAATGTCAACAGACCTGGTAAAATCCAGTTTAGCCACTTTTTTTTTGTTTTGTTTTAATCACGCTGAATTTTCAGCACTTTCATGCAAATGTTGCTTGAGGGAAAATCTGCAATACAAAATATGATCACTCCTAATCATGTTTCCTGCTTTCTGCAGAAAAAGGTTACCAGGTTGCCTACTGAGTCCCTCAAAAAAACAACTTCTGTTATCACCAGATAGATACATTTGCATGGCCTACTGAAATCACCATGACAATCGTCAATGCAAAACCATGTGAGCTGAAGCTGAGGAGTAAGAAGAGCTGTGGGAAGGCAAGAGGATGTGTGCTTATCTGGTGATGTGTAGAGTAGTGCAATGCTTTTGTAGGACAGTGTAGATTATACAAGTGAAGTCATATCAGGTCTTAAAACATGCTTTAAGACATGCTTGCAACAGGCATAATCTTAGAGAAAGCTTTTGTACATGACACAACATGACAGATGCATATTTATAGTTAAGGAACTGCATTTTGGGCAGCTCAAAATATCACTAAGTAATTAAAACAACATGCATGATCACATGATACGAGCATGATTCACTGAAACTAAATGTTGAATCTTCAACAAACACACAATGGTTCCTCTTTTAACACTGCACACCTGCCTGTAACTTTACTTTCTGCCAAACCAGTTTGTCCTGTGGCTTTTAATTGCCAGGAACAGGACTGAGAGTCCAGGGGGATTCTAAAAGGCCCTTTTTCACCTCATGCCTCACATTATGTAAAAAATAGCTGGATGCTTTTCAGATCAGCTCACAGTCATTTATTAAACAGCAAATGCAAAAGTATCAGTCAACAAAGTGCAATAACATTTCACTGTGCCAAATGGCATGATCATTAAAATAACAAAATGACAAAACTTTGTATTTTCAATAACTGAATTTCTTCATAGAGATATTCACCAAAGAGCACATTCAATAATGTAATGCTTTCAATTAATGTATAATATATAATGTGTATGTGTCTAATAAAATATGTGTCTACTCAAAGGTAAAACCCTGCTGCCCATTTTAAACGAGAACTTTAAAAGTCTGAGGTAAACACACACAAAAACCCCAAACATATCTGGTAGCAAATTAATGTTTCACATTTACAGTATCAGAGTTTAAATAGGAATTTGTTAGAAGTTAATTTGTCGCATTCTTCACACATTTCTTTGGCATGTTGATAAATGTACTCCTGAACCTTTCTATCTAATCCTTTAAAAAGAAAGCATCATGGAGTATATTTATACTCAAATAAAGTCAGTACACACTCACAAACAAAGAAAAGGCAACTTATAAATAGCAGTATAGTAAACTGTCTTTTTTGCCAACATAAGAACACATATTTAATTATATGTAATTATATTATAAGTATGTCTTTGGTGGGTTTGAGGATAAATCTTCCCCGTCACTCTTAACTGATAAGGTGTCCATTTCTGCTTCTTTCAGCTGAGACTTTGTAGATGGTACATCACTGTGTTTCGATTTTGTCGAGTCTGCCTTTTTCAGTTGTGACTTTGTTGAAGGTGCCCATGATTTCTCTGACTCCTCTTTTGAGCCCTGCTCAGACATATACTGATAGGATGGAGGCCTTGGGTACTGCTGGGGCTTTGAAGTCACTCCCTCATAGCCATGAGGCCTGGGGTAGTCCACTCCAACAGGCAGTGACGTTGCTGATGGCGCCCTGCTGCGATGAGAACCCCCCAGGTTGGACCCGTTGTAGGAGCGAACCACCTGGTAACGCACAGATGTCCTCTTCTCTGTGTCATGGGCTTTTATGGGGCATGCAGAGCTGATGAATAAACCGCCTCCCAGAACAAGCAAAACAGATGCTCCCCAGCCAATGTAGAGACAGGCACCAATCTCCCTCTTCTGAGCATCATTGTAGGCACTGTAGAAGTTCTTCACTAAAGCCCCAGCCACCCAAGATGTAGGAATCAAACAGAACAGACCTGCAGCCATCAACACTGCTCCTGCCACAACAGCCATCTTGCCCTTTGCCCCATTTCCAGTTTCATCCAAGAAGCGGGTGCACTTTCCTCCAACAAAGGCCATAATGAGTCCTGCTGCACCTACAGTGATTGAAATGACAGTGAGAGCTCTGGCAGCCTGCATGTCACCACTGAGGGCAAGGAGGGACTCGTAAGGTTTACACTGTATCTGACCTGTGCTTTGGACCACGCAGGCCATCCAAATGCCCTCCCAGAAAATCTGGGAGGTGACGATGGAGGTGCCCACAAAGGACGAGACCTTCCACATTGGCAGTAAGCAGATGACGATGACCCCTGCCCAACCGAGGAGGCAGAGGCCACTAGCAAACATCTGCATCCCCATCGAGGCCATAATGTAGGTCTGGAGAAAAAAAATCTTTTTTGTAAAATCCTTGCAGAGTTTTAAAAGGTGACTTGCTGCGTTTCTTGATTTCTGCTGAGTCTCTTTTGCATTTGCTTGTCTTTTCCTCTGGTTGCTCTTCTCTTGTATCTTTCTGTGAGTGTTTCTTTGTCAGTCCTTCTCAACATGTGCGTACTGTGCGTACTTTTTCCTGCTACTGTTGCAGTGTTGTAAACTATGTAGCTCAGGAGAGCCTAGTCTGTTGCAGTTGTTATCCTGCCTACAGTTTTTTGCTACTGGGATGGAGGCGTGTCTTACTTAAACCTCACTTCATTTGTTTACAGCATATGTCCCTCCCCTTTTATACCATGCCTTTCTGCCTCTTCCTTCTTTACTTTTTACTTCAGCACCTGAGAGCATTCGTTCTTTTTTGTCACCTGAGCAGATGCCTATGGGGTACTGAACAGGTGTGGACAGTGCCACACCTACTCTGTAGAAAAAATAAAGAACTGGAATTTGACAGAGAGAGAGAGAGAGAGAGAGAGAGAGAGAAAGAAAATGAATAGGCAATGACATCACCCTCGCTCATTATCTTTGCCTTATGAGAACATTTTGTAAACAACAGCTATGAAGTAGGCAGAAGAAACAGAGGTATAAACCAACGCCTACCAATGGTCTATTCTGATGTTAATCTGTCACATACAATACCTCTGCAAAAATGCTGCATTTGATTAACAGGTGATTTAATTTGATTAAGAAATTAATACATGTGTTAGGTCAGAGGCCTCTTCACGCAACTAATGTACTTGAATAATGTGCGCATGCAGAGTATGTGAAACAGAAGGAGGGTGGAAAGTTTCCTGGGAGAGGACAGGACAGAAGTTTCACTTGAATAGCACACAGTGCAGAAAAACCTGTTCGAAATATGCAAAACCCCCGTACCACACAAGACAACACACACTTATGTAAACTTGTGTGGCAGAAAATGAAACCTTTTTATCAAGCTCGAAATCATTTTTAATCTCTATGACTTATAAAGGTTAAACTTTACAGGGGCTATAAATTATTTTCGGAATTAATTTTATGGTTAAGCCTGATACAACACAATACATTTAATTTGAAATCTTTTTAAGGTTTGCCTATTTGAACAGAGATATTTTGTGTAGATAAGCTCGTGTATTGTAATTTGTACCACTGTGAATGACCTTTCCCCCTTGTTTCCTCAGAAACAGAAACTATGCACGGTTTTAATGATTAAGCTGATTCAGGAAAACACATTTGAACATTCGAGTCTAACTGTCCTGTCCTTGCCAGTCCCCTAGACATCATAGAGGACGTGGGTAAGAGCTCGATGATGGCCAAGCTAATGTCCATTATGGACAACACCTTTCACCCCCTGCATACAACTGTGGAGTCCCTGTGCAGCTCCTTCAGCAGTAGATTGTTACTACCGTGGTGTAAGATGAAGAGCTATGACAGGTGCTTCAACAGAGAGCACAATACCCACCCAGGATAAGTACTGTTTAAGTGTATTACATGTGTATTACTATTGGTCCCACTGCACATTATGTACATATAAAAAATTGGGGTATATGTTACTGTATATACTACATATCTACATAGTACAGTATTCTTTAAAAAAAATCTAGTATATTTCTAATTCACTTTTTCTTTCTGTCCCTTGTGCTACCGTAACAAGGAAATTTCCTTCGTGTAGGACTAAATAAAGTCTCTTCCTATGTATAATTAGCTCAACTTTATATCTACTGTCAATAAGGATTTTAAAGGAACTGAAACACTGGTTTAATGTGCGTTCACTAAAAATGCTACACATTATTTTTAATGTTTTTTAACATCAGATACAAAGAGCCAAGTTTTCAGTGCTGTAGAAATCCACAAAACTAAATAAAGAAATGAACACATACTAAATAGCATTACATAAATGCTAGCATCCAGTGTCTGTTTTTCAGGCTCTTTGACGAGAAGGAAATGTCCCAAAACCGGCTTGTAAAGATTCTTTCAAGGACACTCGCAAAACCAGATCTTCTGTTTGAATTTCTTTACTGTTTGTCACTAGTGTGACTCATCTTATGATGAAATAAAAAAAAAACAACCCACAAGCAATGTCACATGCACATATATACAATTTTATTGACATACAGTCATCCATAATACATATATATATATATATATATATATATATGGATATATATATGTATCCATCAGTATTCCACTAGTTTAACAGAGAAAGCAGTCAAAAAATGAGGTCTAGAGTTACAAGGGTGTCAATACGGATTTACAATGGTTTTAATTAAACAAGCATCAGATTTCAGACATAACCCTGAAACAAAGTATCCCATATTGATATAAAAAAGAACAGAAAATAAAAATGTAAAAAAATCTCTGGTGGTAGAAAACATAAAAACAACAGATATATTCAAAAACAGGCTGAAAATACTGCATGTGTGTATATTTTGAAGAAAAAAAGCTTAAGTTACACAGTCTCACTCTAAACATTTCTACTTATTTTAATCACAGACATTGTAATTCTAAAAGGTGGACTCTTTAAGATATCCAGCAGAATGCTCGCTATCTAAACATATTCCTTATGACTATCCACAGAGCGAGCCTTGGAGTACCTAACGTCATAATCAGTGACATTGTTGGGGGGACAGGAGCTACAGAGCAGGCCCCCTCCCAGGATCAGAACCCCTGCAGTTCCCCAGCCGATGTAGAGAGATGTTCCCAGCTCTCTCTTCTGTGCAGAAATCAGGGTAGGGTTGTAGAAATCACGAATGACGGTGTTAGCGGTCCAGCAGACTGGAATAAGCACCAAGAGGCCGGCAATGATGAAGACAATTCCAGCAGCTACTGCCACTCTGCTCTTTTGCACTTCGTCTTCGACAAAATTTGTGCACTTGCCTCCAACCACTGCAAGCAGAATCCCAAAAACTCCAGCGATGATGGCGATGACAGTGAGTGCTCTGGCAGCCTGCAGGTCTTGAGCTAATTCTAGCATAGAATCATAGACCTTGCACTGCATTTGGCCTGTACTCTGGGTCACACAGTTCATCCACAGACCCTCCCAGATGACCTGAGAAGTGACGATGTTGGCACCAATGAAAGCGGTGACTCGCCATTGTGGGAGTCCACAGGTGATGATCGACCCAAGAAAGCCGATGACTCCCAAAAATAAACCAACAAGCTGTCTACAACCAGCAACCATGTTGATCCTGTCAAAGAAAAAAGATTGAGCGTCCTTGAGAGCTTTGTGTGTGAAACAAAAGTTCAGCAGGTAGTTGTTTCAGCTGATCACTCAGAGAAGAAGTTGACTGTGAGTTCCTTGCTCAGTGGTTAAAATTTTAAAGGAGGTGACAGAGGAGGTGTTTTTCTAGTGCTGTATGCAAGGTCAAACAGGTTTGTGAAGAAATGTCACCCAACCAGCTTGTTTCAACACTTGTAGAAAAGATAGCAGTTTCATGTGCATAACAAAGGCCAATATAATGGGAAAAAAACAACAAAAAACACCAAAACGAGTTACACAGAAATACAGACTCCCACCAATGTCATCAATTTTTTATGTTCTGTGAAACAATAAAATGAATATTTTGAACTGGCATATTTATGAGAACACTATTTACTTGGGTGATACTAAATACCAAACAGGGATTTACCAAATGAACAATGCTAGGAAAATGACGCACATGACTTTCAGAGTGAGCTCATTGTCAACCGATACCTGTAGCTCATAGGTTAATAGATGTCAATAGATGTAAGTGTTTCTACACTGAAACTGTCTGTTCTTGTGACTGAGTGAGATGAAAAATTGCATTTATCGAGCTCAGTTGTGTTTTAAAGAGTGCTTTAAAGTGTATCTATGAATCACACACACTTACAGCCGAATCCCTTAGGGTTGCCATACAAGGTCCTGACCTCCTTAGGTTGGAGGACCCAAAACACCCTCAAAAAACAAATGTCATACAGTACCAAATCTACATTTGTGGAAAGAAAATTAGAAGCTTTTGATTTCCCTTTATGGAATTGTATGAAAAATAGACTAGCTAATTAGTAAGGAAAAATAGATGGTTTGAATGCCATTTCATTCTTTTCTTTTTTTTCTTAATACATTTATAATATAATATTTTGTCATGAAATCAATATCCTTAGTATCCTTATTTTCCTATTATATTGTTTTATGTACTTTAATAATAAAGGCTTGTGGAGCAAGGCCACTTTTGACTCACAAAGTGCTCACCCAGACTAAAAAACAGGAAGTTTTAGTGCACAGGCATATTAATAGATAAAGACACAGAAAAGCATATAAGCAATGTTTGAAACAGTGTGTGACGTGTGTCACGTCTGAAGTACAGAAATAATACCATATAAGACAAATGTTGAGCTAAAAATGTTAGAGCTCTTGCAACTGGCGTTTGAGCTGTGCAGGGGTCTCTCTCTTCCGGAAGATGATTGAATAAAAAGAAATATAAATGTTTTAACACACTATGAGTCGGTTTTCTCTGTTCTATCATGGGGACAAAAGAATCGGGGTTAATAATTTTTAAAAAACAAAAAACTTTTCCGGCAAAAACACAATGAAAAGACTATAGATCTAAATGTGACCAGTGACAGCAAAATCATGTCATATGTGTCACGATATTTCTCAAGAAAGAAAAAGATTAACATTGCTTTGAAATTTTTACGAGACCAACCAGCAGCGGAGCGGGGTGTGTGTGTGTGTGTGTGTG